CGCCCTGTTCTCTGGACACCTCCTGAAAAGCAAACTTAAGGAGTTTAAGCATTAATCAGGCATTTGCCTCCACATCTTCATGGTGATAAGCAGCCGTGAGTGCCACAGCCCTTGACATGTGGAAGCTCAGTTTGTGCACACCTCCAGAGGCCTGGCTTAGAGACCCAGGAACCTTCCGGAAAAGGGGGTCTGGCATGGGATGGTAAGGCTCTGTGCATCCTAATAACAATTGGCTTATGGTGAGCTGTAGTTCATGGGCTGCCTAGGGATTGCTGCCTTTCTCCTTAAACTGGGCCCTGATACAGGTGGAAGGAAGTGTTGGGGGTATTTGCCATCACATGGACACAGTATTCATTGACTTGGCGTAGAGCAAAACTTTCCATCCAGCTTCTGGTTGTTTATTCTGCTTGTTATCGAACACCTAGCTATTTGGAAATGTCCAGATTTTTTTTTTTTTTTGCAATGTGGAAACCAAACATCCAGGTGACAGCCTGGGTCTTTGGCCTTTCCCCTTTCCCCTAGGTGTTTCAGTATCGTAACAGACTAAATCTACATTCCCAGTTGTCACCTGAAGATAGCTGCGGCTTTAAACATGCACCTTGGAAGACTTAGGTAGCAGAGGAATTCTGAAAAAACCTGTCTGGGCCATCTTTTGTCTTTGTGACCACGGGCGTGGAATGTTTGTGGAATCCACTTTTTTGTATTAGGAGTAAAAGAGTTTAGGCCATTAGCTTCAATCTGCTTTGTTTCAGTATGGAAATGTTATTTTTACAAGTTTTTAGTGAACATAGTTTTGAAGCCTCATGCTGTCTAATTCTGTTCCTTGGCAGACGAAAAATAATGGTGAATTCCATAAAGATTTGGCCATGGGCAGGAATGAGAAGAAAGGGTTGTGCGTGTGTCTGCCGGTGCAGGATTTCTGTCCTCCCCAGCCCTGTCGCTCAGGCTGCCAGAGACTTACAGCCGCGGTGGTTTTGCAACAAGAGCAGCTACCACTGAAGGGGGAGGCAGGGGGAGCGGTTTTATTTCACTTTGTGGGTCAAATGTCTGCGATTTCGGTTTAAATTTGAAAAGCAAAAATGAGAAAAAAGTCAGCAACGTGCATAACTCCACTTAATTATACAAAATATACTGCTAACAATTTAGTACAGTTTCATTCTGATTATAGCTATGTTTATACGGTCATGCTGACAGATTCAGGGCTGTACCTTAGGCAATGGTAGGGTTGTGTGTGCGTGCGTCTGGTATTTCTACGCAATGGAATCCTGAATATACATATTTTTATCCCACCTGCTTTTTTCCCCCCATTTATCAGTAGCTGTTCATGATATCTTACCTGGTCCGAACTTAAGAATACCTCATTCTTTTTAGTGACCCTATGCTCTTTTGTTGGAATGAATTAACTATACGTTAGTTCATATAGGATGAACTGTGTATTATTAATGACTCTCTTCCTGATGGGTTCAGTTTTGCTGTTACGAACGGTGCTCGAAGCAACAGTCTTGTTCATGTGCCTTGAAGTCATCCTGCTGTTTTCTGTGTAGGCTAGACTTCTAGAAGTGGAGTTAACTGGGTAAAAAGAAAAAATGTGCTGCTAATTTTAATAGGCACTGCCAGATTATTTTACAGAAAGGTTTTTCTCCATGTTCCTGTTCTCAGTTTGAGCCTCTTTCCCTCCACTCTCACTCAGTACTCCGTGAGGTGGCTCTACCTAATTTTTGTTAATCAGCTGGGGAATAACAGTGTCTCATTATTGTTTTAATTTGCATTTCCCTGATTGTTAATGATTTTAAGCGTCTTTTCGTATGTTTATTGGGTATTTACATTCCCTTTTCTTTGAAAGTAGAGATGTTCATTTGATCTAACTGACAGAAGAATGGTAGCTCTAAAAGGATGAGGAATATTAGAAAAACACTGTGAAGAGGACATCTGACATTTTTGTTGGAAGGGCAGTGTCTTTAGGTTGACCCTGAATCGGAGTATAGAATTGAAGTGCTTAGGAAAGAAACACAAAGGTCTTTGTGCCTTTGCTCCCCATCTTGATAGTTACTGTTTGTCCTCTCTCAGCTTGTCATTAAGCAACCACTAATTAATGGTAGGATATCCCCTATGAAAGTGTCAGACGTTCCCACTGTTGGCAGCTTCTAAGGGTGTCCATTTGGAAAATGCCACAGCTCATAAAATTTGGGATTGGTGGTATGTCAAGGAATCAAATACTGGAGCAATGGTGTAAGAAAATAAAAATTAACCGCCCTGCATGGGGCACTATTGATTGAGTACCAAGGTCTCGGAAGGGGCAGAAGCACCTTGTCTGGTCAATGTGTTTTTCATTGTGAAAGCATTTGATAAATGTTAACTTGTTAATATTTGTCGTGCACCTCCAGGAAGTAAATATTCAGGGAGCACAGGCTCTTGACGAGGGATCTTACGTGGAATGCCATAGCCCCGACGAGAGACTGGATCTGACCATATGCCCGGGGGTTAAAAACGGCAGTGGTATGCCGAGCTGCATATGCCAAGATTTAATGTCTTGGGCAGAGGCAGACGATGCCCTCCCTGTGCAGTTCAGGTTCAGCTCCATTTGGAATGTGCTGTGTGCCAAATCTGGATCCAGGCGCAAGAAAGACATTGACAGTTTGGACGGGGTCCAGAGACAGGCACTAGTCATGATTAAGGGCTTATGGGCATGACATTTGAGCGGGGGCTCAAAGAACTGAATGTTTACAGCAGGGTTAAATGCTGGATTACGTGGCTTGGTGACGTTAGGGCCTATGGCTTCATCCCCAAGTTACCCTCCGTGTGATTAGTCCTTCAGAGTCCAGGAATGTCCCATTTCTGATACCCCTGAGAGCTTGGGGAGAGGGAGGGTCTCTGTGTGGGCCCATCTGCCTCAAGTTAAATCAAGGAGTTAGTACCGGAGTCTTCCATGCTCTTTCGCACACAGCTCCAGGGTTAACACCCAGGGGGCCAGGATTTCGGGAGAGAGTTCTCATTGCCCTGGAAAACTTAGCAACCGCCTCTTCTTCATAGCATTCCCTCTACACACCGTGCATGGAAGGCCTATCCCTCCTAGCCTGTTTGGGTTCTCCTATAAGTCTATGGCCCAGCCAAGAGCAGAAGGCAGGTCTTCTCCAGTGGAGGAGACAGACTCTCTCCACTGGGGTCCGATGCCTTCAGATTCATTTTACTGCCAGACTCTTCGCCTGGGACAGTAAGAATGAATGTCCCCTCATCAGCTCCATGACAGTAGGTCTTCAGGATTATACATGGGAGTTGGTGAGAGGGCAGCAGCTAGAACAGAGGGACTGTCTGCTCAGAACTCATTCTTACTTCATTGCTTGTACTCAGTGAGGAAGAGTCCAGCCCTCACCCGCGGGATCCTGCATGAGACTGTCTGTGATGAGCAGGGGGCTCGTTTTTTGAACTCGGTGTCTAGGTGCTCTCTCAGAGAGTGGCTTGCAACAAAGCTAAACATCTGATGTGACACACGTTGGGTGGGAACAGACTCTGATAGCCTCTTACCTCTGTTGGCGCTGCTTTTCAAAGCGGACAGCTGCTCTGCTCTCCTGTTTTTATAATGGAGCATTCATGAGATGATTTTCTTTATTCTCTAGTTCCTTGACTCACTCATGTGCTTGCAGAGGCTCTGCGGGTATTATCGGTTTTTTATGTGATTAAGGCAGAAAACACTTGCAGTGCTCAGGGAATCATTCAGAAGGTCAGTTGAAATTCCTGAAATCATAGTTAAGACTGGTAGGGCCCTGGCTTTTTATTTATTTATTTTTTCTCCATGTCTTTAGAGTGCCTGGCCCAAAATACCTTTACAACATGATTTGGATTTGGAGAAAAAGGTTAAAGCCTTGAACCTGCAAGATAAAATCTGCATTTTATAAAAAAGATTTTATTTATTTGACACAGAGAGAGAGAGAGAGAGATGAGCGTAGCAGGGGGAGGGGCAGAGGGAGAAGGAGAAGCAGGCTCCTGCCGAGCAGGGAGCCCGATGTGGGATTCTGTCCCAGGACCCTGGAATCATTACCTGAGCCAAAGGCAGATGCTTAACTGACTGAGCCATCCAGGCGCCCCGATAAAATCTGTATTTTGGTCTTAGTAAGGAAAAGTCATGCTTGCTTGAAAGTTTGAGTCGGTGAAAATATTTTAAAAGCAAGGTGGGAATGTTAGAGTCTAGTCTGTTTGCATGTTGACAGAACTGTGGATAGGAATCACAATAGCTTATTTTCACATGTGCTGCTTATCTTTGAAAAGTCTCAAGGAGTTTGTAAGCAGATGGATATACAACTTAGGTTTCCTGAGGATTCATTGCTCCCATATTTGGAATTCTGGGTATGTCTCTCAGGAGTATGTAGCATCTATTTGGCCACTGCCAGAGATGGGGGGGTGGGCAGACCTGTGTTCCCAGTTGAAACCTCTTGAGACTTCCAGACAGCATCTGAGGGCCGTGGGGAAAGGAACTGGAAGGCTCCAGGAACAATGGAGAATCTAGCTTGTGGGCTCCTTGGGAGAATTGCATTAGCTAAGGCGGGATGGAGTGCTCAGAGCAGTGCCTGGCATATAGTAAGTGCTCATTGGCATTGGCCCTAAGTGGTCCGTGGGTGCCGTGGGGCCTGAGGGTTCCTAGTGGATGAGCAGCCTTTCCACCCCTCTGCTCTGGGGCACTGATAGGGTCGCAGGCTAATGTGCAGGTTCCCCCGGCCATTTGGTAGCTCCTGGAGGAACCCTCACACCACGACAGTGACAGACCCACCCCGCACGCTTGCAGATCTGAACATGTCCATATCCCGTTGCTAGACATTCACCTTGATGGTAATGATTGTTTTCATTTGTCTCCATTCTGAGTCCTTACTATATGGGAAATGTAGAATTCAGGTGATTCTTCTCTACCTTCCTTGTCTCCCTCAACTTCTTTTTAAATCAAGAAGGCAAAGTGCCTGGTATTCTGTGCTAAGACTGTTAAATAAGCACCTTTACTTTGATCTTTTCAGGTGCGAAACCAACATTGGAGCCTTATTATGGAGAGCGTGGTCCCGTCTGACAAAGGAAATTACACCTGTGTGGTAGAGAATGAGTATGGTTCCATCAATCACACGTACCACCTCGATGTTGTTGGTGAGTGTGCTTCTCCCTGAGGGGCAGGTGTATAGCAGCTTGCCATCATGACATCATGAAAACAAGTCCTGTTTCTCCCCATGGTTTAAGGAGAGTTGGTGCATTCTTCTTTCTAAATACATGCTGTCGTTGGAGAAGGGTTCTTCTATCATTTGACAGTGTGCTTTTAACTGATGAGCCATGTTTTATGTATTTTGTGTGATCCTCTTGGTTCCCTTGCATCTTGTGCAAAATGGACATAGTAGGAAAGGTGCTGATATTCCAGAAGCTGAGATTACTCTGAAGAATGTTAGTGTGTTCAGGGAAAGGGTACAGATACGCTCTAGGAGGACTTTTAAAGATTTATTTATTTTAGAGAGAGAGCAGGAGCGAGTGCAGGGGGCGGAAGGGCAGAGGGGGAGAGAGAGAGAGAGAGAGAGGATCTCAAGCAGACTCGACGCTGAGCGTGGAGCCCGATGCGGGGCTCGATGCCAGGACCCTGACATCACGACCTGAGCTGAAACCAAGAGTCGGATGCTTAACCGACTGAGCCACCCAGGTGCCCCTAGAACTTTGTTTTTAAAAGAGAGGCAACATGATCTAAAGAAGGGCAATTGTATTATGCCGGCTGAAGAGTAAAGGAAAAGGTATCACAAAGACTGAGCTGATAGCTGGCTGGGGCAGGTCAGGGTCAAGGCACCCTTCACTTGCATCAGGAGAAAGTCATTCGATATTGTAGGTTCAGCGTTTGTTCCTAGAAACGATTTCTTCTGTGAAAAGGGAACTGTGTATGGGCTTGTAAATCTCTTAAGTGCTCAGATAGGTAGGCTATTTTAATTAAATATCTTAAGACCATGAGCCTGTTGTCCTGGAATTCAAATTTCTTCCCGTCTTGCCTGTTGTGATGGGTTGTGTTGTAACTGATGAGGAAATAGGGTTTCTCTGTCTTGTTGGAGGATTGGAGATGCCGAGGATGTGTGTCATTGCTGCAGGGATGGTGGGCTAAGATCTTTTCTTTGTGTGATCCATCTTTTCTCTGTCTTGTCATCTACCTGGACACTCAGGATCACCACCTGGCCTTGAGTCCTGGCTGAGGGTCAGCTAACCAGTTTGCCCTTCTCTTGCGGATTGCTGGCGCCTGCAAGAGGTCTCAACTCCAGGCTCTCCCTGATGGATTTTGCCTTAATGTGACCCTATGTAACTCCACAGACTCATGCCCACCCTCTGTGTCTATGAACAAAGGCTTTCCTCCATCATTTCCTATGCATGTGTCCCTAGTATTATTTCATATGTGGGCATTTCTTCTCCTTTAAGAAACTAGAAACTCTTTGAAGAAAGGCTCCATAGCGATTTGAATTGCCCAAAGAACCATGAAAACACCTTCCAAAAGCTTGATTAACCAAATTACATAGATTTTGGTTAGTTGAAGTTTTTAGGTTAACTGAAAATGAAACAGAAAACCATTTTGATTTTCTATCAAATTAAAATAAATCCATAAGAAACTCTGCCTTAGCATGAGATAGTGTTTATTTCCACATGTATGTTAGAATTCAGTGAAAAAAAGTATTTGTGACATTTTATTATTCAGAAGCCTTAATGTGAAATTTGGTAGCTTTTACATAATGTATATCCTGTGGACATTCATAAGAGACTGAGTTTCAGAACCCTCTTTTCTCACAGAGGTATTTGGGGGAGGTTTTTTAGTGGGAATTACTATGTACAGATATTTTGTAGATCAAACAGAAAGAAGTAGCAGTCAAATATGAGAAGAGGATGGCGAGCATTTATTGTGGCATTGATGCACCATAAATCTGTTGATTAAGCACACAGTGTGGAGTTCACGTTGGGCCTCATCATATCTCCTGAATTTGACATGAGAGTGTTTCTATTTAAGGAAAGAAAGATTTGGGCCTACAAGTTCTTCAATACTTAATTTTGAAACTAAGTAGTTGTGTGAATAAAATAATTGTGTTGTAGCAGTCCACGGGGGATTCTGGCTTTGCATAGGTCCACAGATTGTTCGCTGGGATTGGCTGGAGACCCGTCTAGGAATCAGGAGTCAGCCTGGCCACCTCAGCCATGGGCTCTCTCGCTCCTAGCAGGTTTTAGGTTGAGTTGTTATGTAAAACATTCAAAAGCCCCTCACCCCACCTCTCCTTTGAGCTTTCTGGCAGCTCATCTCTGTGAAGCCCTGCAATCTCTCTTACAGTTTAGGGCTGGATTTGAATTGGGCTGCTGAATAATGGAATTGTGCTGTCTAATGTTAATCCCCTGGCAATCAGTCTTGTTGAAAAGAGCGTATGATTCAGTGGTGTAATGTAGAGGGAGCATAGAGCGTATGGAGTAATGCAGAGAAAGGCCTGATTATGTCACAAATTTGGGAGATTGCCCAGCCAGACGTGGGCCAATAATGACACAATGCTGGTTGGGAATATCCATTAAAGCTCAACCCCTAATAATTTTCCAAGCCTTGAACCTTCTTTATAAATAGAAGCCAAAAGTCAGTGGAGTATAAGACATTTTCAGGAAAGATGGAGGTGTGAAATACTCTCATCTTTGCTCAAAACCCCAGTAATTGCTTTGAGAAGCACTAATAAAGTAAGAATTGAGTCAGCTCGAGAGTCTCATGCAGACTTATGGGGTTGGCAGGCAGGCGTTCTGAACATCTCAGCAAGAGGCAACAAAAGGGATTCAGGCTTGAACAACGATTTTCTGGTGGCCCACAGTCCAAGTGTAATATACCGCCACGTGATAACAAGCTTCCCAGCTACAGCTGCGTCTCAGAAAAATCGGAGACTCTGTCCCAGTGAAAGTGAAGTCCTGTCCTCATTCACATTCTTCGAGGGTTTATTTTTGTTGCTATGATACATAGGTTTGTGGTTCAGATATTACGAAGCATCAAAATGGGCGAGATCTTTTTATTGAAACTCTTCCTCAGAAAGGCATTCCCATAAGCACTTTCACGTAAAAGCCGTGTAATTTAAGTGACATTCTTGTGTTCTGGAATTAAACAGCCAGCCATTGTTGTGTGTGAGGGAAATGCTCTCGTGTATGGGAGCCCTTTTAGGAGCCTTGCTTGATCCTCATTAAAATTGACACCATTACTTTTCAGCCATTTACTTGCGAGGGAACATTAGCACGAGACTCCGCATCTTGGTAATTGTGACTCTCGGAAACCAGGCTCCCCTCACAGGGCTGGCTCCGGGAGGTGGCGGGTCTTGGCCCTCGTTCATCAGCGAAATGAGGCTGAAGCACCGGGTTCTGATGGCTCTGCCACCAAGAAGCCGCAACCTGGGACAGATCCCGTAACCTTGGGTTTCGCAGCCCTTGTGTCTGCGAATGAAGGAGCCGAGACCCATTTACGTCCTCGAAAGGCAGCCCAGTGGTGTGGAGAGAGCAGCAGGGCCCTGAGGGAATTGTCACAAGTCCCTTAGCCTTTCCTGAGCCTCTCCGGCCTCATCGGGGGAGTTGGAATGATGGTACTTGCTCATTCCCGTGATAGTTGTGTCCGTCTCCTAGGGGCTGCTGTGACGAGCACAAACTGGATGGCTTAACACAACGGAAGGTGATTCCGTCTCCGTTCTGGAAGCCAGACATTTGAAGTCAGGGTGTCAGCGGGGTTCGTTCCTTCTGGAGACTCTGAGGGGGCATCAGTTTCACGCCTCTCCCCAGCTTCTGGTGGCTGCTGGCCGCCCTCGTCTTGTGGACATGTCACTCTCGTCTTGGCCTCTGTCTTCTTGTGGCCTTGGTCTCTGCGTCTGAGATACCCTCCCATGTGTCGCCTACAGGGACACCTGTCGTTGGATTGAGGGCCCGCCCTCCATCCAGGATGGTCTCATCTCAAGATCCTTAACTTAATTACAAAGACCTTGTTTCCAAATAGGGTCACATTCACAGGTTCCAGGGGTGAGGACATGGACTTATCTTTTTTGGGGGGGGGCCAAGTTCAACCCACTACAGTGGTTATGAGGAATCTGTTTGGGTTAACAGATAAACAAAACAAAAACCCTCCACCAAATTGGCATCAGGTGGCCAGCAACAAATGCTGATTTTCTTCCTTCAAACCTGGACTTTCTGGAGAGTTAGAGGGCATTTCTATCTATTTTTATTTTTTTAAAAGATTTATTTATTTGAGGGAGAGAGAGCATGAGAGAGAGCAGAGGGAGAGGGAGAAGCAGGCTGAGTGGGGAGCCTGACGTGGGGCTCGATCCCAGGACCCTGTGATCATGACCTGAGCCGAAGGCAGGTGTTTAACCGACTGAGCCACGCAGGCGCCCCTAGAAGGCATTTTTAATAGCTTTCATTAGACTCCATCAGAAGTTTTATTAAATAAACTGAATGCCATGTTGGGGCCCACAGAAGGGGCCAGTGGCTGCCGTTCACGTGTCCTGCTGGCTTTATACCTTTGGTTAATGCAGTCTTCACGGCCGTCCCAGGACTGGTCCAGTTGCAGGAGAGGATTGTGGTGTTTGAGAGCTCGAAGTTCCTGAAGGTGGCATCCACCCTCACCTCTCACCCCGCTGATAGTTGAGGTGATGAGGGATTTATTTGCCAATGACTTAAAAGAACTCCAGAGCAGGGGCCTCCATCTGGGTGTTCTGGAAACCTGGATTAATGCTCCATGCACTGCACTTGGGGGTCTCGGTTTTAGTTGTCCCATGGTGTGGACCAGCAGGGACCACTGCAAAACTCTGAAAAGGTGCTGCTGTTACCCCCGCCCCATGTTCAAAACAACAAAGTGAAAGAGAGAGAGAGAGAGAGAGATGAAAGTATTTAATGGACCAGTTGGTCCTCCTCGCTCATAGAGACCATCAGCTTTGATTTATGAACTTTTTCTCCCTTTGCATGTCCCAATTCTGCAATCCCAGAGACCATGAGATAAGTTTTGAGCTTTTCACGTGGCGTTGGATACTTGCGGGGCAGAGTGCAGGGGAGGTTGGAAACAGTGCCTCTGGATTTGCTGAGGTCAGCCATGCCTTATCCTCTGTCAATCTGACTTTCTAGAGTTTTGTCCGCCCCTG